ATTATAAACATAAATATGTGTTTATCGAGAAAGTTGAAAAAAGCCTGAATTTAATTTTGCTACAGAAATTGAAAGTCTTTTAAGTATTCATTAAAGACAGTAAAAGTTGGCTATCAACTTGAGGTTACAATGGTTCGAACACGCAGGATTTCATTATAATTTAGACGTTCCTCGCTTAACTGCGCATCCTGTGGGTGGTTCACCAGGTTTAGCTTCAATGATCTGATTTCTTTAAGTTGATTACTGGTTATACTCAACATGCTGCAGTTATTGAAATATAAAACATTAAAATTCACAAACAGGGAAAATTGAAACATGAAATGAAATTACATAATGTCTATCCGCATCACATCTAATTAATAATAACAATAATAATGAAAAAGTAATCATAGAAATTATTATTAGTCTCCTTTACTATACTCATAAAATTTAATAACTTTAAATAAAATTTATAATAAGAAAATATATTATATTACGCTATGAAAAAAAGTTACTTATTTAAATAACCAATTATTTGTTTTTATCAAATAAATTGTATTTGAATCAGCATTTTAGTATTTGAATCAAATACCACTTAATTGACTTAAATAAAAATTATTTGATTCAAGTCAATATTTATTTGAATCAAATCAATTCTTTCAGATCCAACTAGACTTTTTATTTGTTTCAAATAAATTTTATTACGTTCAAATAAAGTATATTTATTCAAATAAAGTTTATTTATTCAAATAAATTTCATTTGTTTTAAATAGATTTTATTTGGTTCAAATAAAAGTCGTAGGGTAATTACACCAATTGCCGATGGTACACCAATTGTCGAGGATCATAATTTTCTTTTTCAGATAAATAGTACAATATAGAATATTTAAAAACAAGAAAAGATTCTAAATAATCTTTATATTTTCAATTGTATATTTACATATTCAAATTTTATAGCAATACTACTAAAATAATTATTTAATTAAAATTATAATTCACTGCTGTCAAATTTACTTGAATCGACATTTTCTTAATACTTCAGGTTGATTGAAACAGATTTTTAGAAATACAAATTAAACGTATTTCTAACAGGGACTTTCACGAAAAATTCGTGTCGATTTGTAATTCGTGCCGTGCCAAGGCACGACACAAAGTTCGCTTGGTAATTCCAGGGATCACAGTGGCATTTCCACTTGAAAATAGGTAAAAAAAGGGGATTTTTCAAAAGAAAAAAGGGGATTTTGAAAAACACGATAAAAATTATTTTGTTACAACATACAGGATTTATTTTCTTAAACTTTTATTTTTCCTTCTATTTACAGCTTTTTGGATTAAATCTGACTTCCTTTGCTCCTTTTTTCTTAAATAATTTAAGAAAAAATAGCCATTTTTTCTTTTTACATTTTACAAAAATAAAATCAGGGTGTCCAACAAGGATTGAGAAGAAGATTCCCTGACTTTTTACTTTGCTTATTTCTTCTTCGACTATAATATGGTTAATAAAATATAAGAAAAAAGTAATCTCGTACTTAGAGGAAAAATTCTCTTCTAATATCCTCTTAATGTTTTCCTCTCAAGACAAAATTATTCGACTTGAACACGGAGAAAAATTTTCTGTTAATGATTACAATAGTCGAACAGTACTGCTCGGATATGTGACCACTTTTCGTAATGCCTAAAGTAGCTTCGTTGTAACAATTCTGTAAGTCGAACGTACTCATTAAAAATTTATTTGAAGTAAATACGAACTAAATGTAAGTGAGCACAAAGTCTATGTGACTGATTACAATAGTCTACGTTAAAAGGAAATCTTGAATACTGTTCACATTTGTAGCGGTCTAAGGAAATCAGTGATAAAGACTGTAGTAGCCTTTACAACAGGACTATTGTAAAATAAGGTGACCGCGGCTACCTTGCCTTCTTATTTTACTATAGTTCTTCGTAAAGACTACTATTGCTATATTTGTGATTACAAATGACTGTTGTAAAGTTAAAAAAGAAAATTTTCAACTAAAATAAAATTTTTTTGTAATTCATGACTTCTAATCATGTATTGCACATCAATTTCACTCTTCCAAGACTACCCACTTCAAGATTAATTATATTATTAAACTAGACAATTTCACTAAACCCTAAGTACATAAATCTAACTTAAATACTAAACGCATAACATAATAACGATCGCTATTTACACATATTTATACATGACTTAAACTTCCTTATATACTAACTGCTATGAAAGTTCACCGCTTGCGAGAAAGACTTATACACTTTAAATGTAAAAAAATCACTTCGTTCTCAATAATTAATACAATTATTGTTCATTGTTAGTTTTTAATATTGTAAGGTCTATTTTTTATTACATTTCCATAGTGAAAATTTTTTTTCTAACACACGCACCGAAGTTTTATACAGGCAAGATTTCTTGCCTGTATAAATTGTTATATAATTTACACAACTTACGTAAGTTACATAACTTACGCAAGTTACGTAAATAACAAAAGTAAGTTGCACAAATAAGTAAGTTAACTTACGTAAACTACGTAAGTTACGTAAAATATGAGTTGCGTAAATAATGTATGATACGTAAAAATATAAGTTACGTAAATAACGTAAGTTGCACTTACGTAAATAACTTAAGTTACGTAATGGACGAATTATTGTAAATTGCACTAATTAGGTAACTTACGTACTTTACGCAAGTCATGAATTACAAAAAAATTTTATTTTGGTTGAAAATTTTCTATTTTAACTTTATACAACAGTCATTTGTATTTAGAAGTATAGCAATAGTAGTCTTTACCTTATTTTACAATAGTCCTGTTGTGAAGGCTACTACAGTCTGTATCCCTGATTTCCTTAGACCGCTACAAATGTGAACAGTATCCAAGATTTCTTTTTAACGTAGACTATTGTAATTATAACAAGTCTCTGCGTGAATGCCTACAGTACCCTTTCTGAACCTGTACATCTAAACTATTAATGATTCCAAAAAATAAATTTCAACACGATTAATACAGTGTTTGGATTCATTAAAGTAACTATAGTAATCGCTCCTACTAAATTCTTAATAAATTACGTAGTTTTCGTAATCATTACAAAAAGTGGTCACATATCCGAGCTGTAATATAGACTATTGTAATCATTACGAAAGAAATTTTCTCCGTGAATGTATATTATTTTTATTATTAATTAATTCATTGTTTTATTATTGACATTTGTCAAAAACATTGAATATTTAAAGGAAATAAATAAAGGAATAAATATATTAAATAATGTAAGTAATTAACTTTTAGTTATTAAATAAAAATATAATTATTTAATTAAAAACATTAAATTTAGTGCATAAAATTAACTTCTCTTCATCAGTTCATAACCACAATTTGCAAATAATATCCGAGAGAAAAATCCTCTAAAGTGAAGAGTATTAATTTTGATACCATATATAAGAGGAAAATATGCATTCAGTTTAGAGGATTCCGCATTAAATCAAGATTACTTCTTTTAGGGTGAGCGATAAATTAATATCGAATTAGAGTAACAAATAGTAATAAAAACCAATTTAGTGTTGTTAGATTACAAAATTTTTAAATTCACAAAAAATTTTAACTTTCTTATTAAATTTATAAAAATGTCCCTAACTTTCCTGAACGTTGAACACCCTGAAAATCTTTTTAAAAAAATTATTAAATTATAATTTTTACTTTTCAACAAAAAATTTACTGAAAAAAGAGGAATAGGTGAGAAAATATTTGAATTAAGGGGATTTAGGGGATTTATTTTTTTTAAGGGTAAAATATAGGGGAAAAGGGAAAAAAAGGGGAATAGGGGAAAAAGGGGACGAACTGTGATCCCTGTAATTCGTGTCGTGCCAAGGCACGGGCACGACACGAATTTTCGTTTTTTTTCGTGTCCGTGTCGGCCCCTGATTTCTAATTACTTTTTATGTACGAAATTATTATTATAATATTATATAAAAACTAAATTAATTTTGTAGGCATGTTTTCTTGTTAAAAAAAATATTTAATATTTTTAAAAAGCAAATCATCGGTATTTGGTTACTTTTTTTGTCAGTTACATTTTTCGAGGTAATGACTCGAAAATTGGTGTAGTCAGTTTTTTCGCTAATGCACCATTTGTCGATGGTTAAGTATTTGTTTATTAAACGTCAAACATAGATTCCAACCTTTTATTTATAACGAAAGGCAGAATTAAAAATTTTGAATCAAAACGAAAAAAGTATACAGAGAAGAAAAAACTAAACTCCAAAAATTTACAACCTACGCAGATAATCAACCTGGTAATGTTCTATAATATTTTCATCGAAAAAATAAATATCTACTCGATTTTTTAAATATCGATACAGGTTATTTGTTTAGTTATATGTTTAAAAATGTCATATCCTCGAAAATTGGAACAGACCATCGAGAAATTAGTACAAGACTATCGACAAATGGTGATTTTGCTCAATTGACTTTTAAATATAATTTTTGCTTAACAATTTAGTTTATATTAAAAAAATAAATATTAATATTAAACATTATTAAATCCTTCATCCAAATGTACAAATATCAAATTTTGAAGTGCATTTACGTCCGAGAAAAAAATGTCAAAGTCAAATAACCCTCGACAATTGGTACAGTTACCCTATAACTAAAATTTGTATTTAAAACAAATAAATAACCTGCACCCAGAAAAAAATATATTTGACTCAGAACCAATTAGACTTTTTTTGGTTTAAATATAAGTTTTATTTATGTCGAATAAAATTATTATTTAAAATAAATAAATAACCTAGTTGGCTCTGAGACAAATATACTTTTATATTTAACTGAAATAAATTTTATTTGGTTTAAATAAAACTTTTCTCTGGGTATATATAAGTATATAGTATATTTATATATCAAATAAAATTACTAATTACTCAAAAATAAAAGTTATTTTTACAAACCAACAATAAAATTCACAACTACAAATAATTATAATTCAGAAGAAGATTGAGAAAGTATTTTATTTTTCAGTTTGAAAGAGTTAAATCTTGATCGCAATGAGATCAAAGAACTGCCAGAAGAAGTGGGAGAACTGCGACACTTGAAAATAATTTCACTGGCTGGAAATTCAATCAGCAACCTTCCGAGATTTTTGAAAATGCGAGCTCTCGCAATCACGGTACGTTTCTTTCAAATAATTTATTTACGATCACTTGGGAAGCCATAGCAATCTATGTAATTATTAATAATTACACACCCAGAGAAATGGTATATTTGTCTCAGAACCAACTAGACTTTTTATTTGTTTCAAATAAATTTTATTTGGTTTAAATAAAATTTTATTTGGCTCAAATATATGTTTTATTTATGTCTAATAAAATTTTTATTTAAAAGAAATAAAAAGTCTAGTTGGTTCTGAGACAAATATACGTTTATTTAACTCAAATAAAATATATTTGGTTTAAATAATATTTTTCTCTGGGTGTACTGTAAAAAATTGGTTTGATTCAAATAACCAATAGCTTGTCTATTATAAAATACATATTTACTTGATTAATTTAAATAAAAATAATTTGATTCAACACCTAGAGAAAAATGTTATTTAAACCAAATATATTTTATATAAGTTAAAGAAACGCATGTTTGTCTCAGAAACAATTAGACATTTTATTCGACATAAATAATAAAACATATATTTGAGCCAAATAAAATTTATTTAAAATAAATAAAACGTCTAGTTGGTTCTAAGACAAATATACGTTTATTTAACTCAAATAAAATATATTTTATTTAAATGAAATTTTATTTGGTTTACATAAAATTATTACTTGGTTAAAATAAAACTTTTATTTGTGTCGAATAACATTTTTATTTAAAACAAATAAATGTCCTTTTGTACAAGTACCAAATTATTATTATAATTTTTATTAGTAGGTATAATTATTATATAATTATAAATTATAATAATAGATTGCTAATTATTTTTGGATTAGTTTATGACCCAGCTTTCGCCGGGTACAGAAAAAAATTATCTTATAGACTCATCATTTGTTCCCCTCCACACCCAGAGAAAAATATTATTTAAACCAAATATATTTTATTTGAGTTAAATAAACGTATATTTGTCTCAGAACCAACTAGACTTTTTATTTGTTTTAAATAAAAATTTTATTCGACATAAATAAAACATATATTTGAGCCAAATAAAATTTTATTTAAACCAAATAAAATTTATTTGAAACAAATAAAAAGTCTAGTTGGTTCTGAGACAAAACAAATATACCATTTCTCTGGGTGCACGGAAATCTTTAGTAAAAGGCGAAAAATTTATTCGTATTTTGAAGGGAAACCAGAGTAACGAATAAGGCTCGCCCAGCCCTTTATATAGTTTTCGATGACTGTATTTGCATTCGAGAAATGTATACCCGAGCGCATTCTATCTGAGAAAATCGAAACTAACGTGCGCGCTTAACTTTTTGTACGCATGCGTCAATTTAAAGGGGTAAACTCGAATTTAAATTTGCCTGCAAACAAAGCACTTGCACCACGTGTCTATAATTATAATGAGAACATGCGTCTTCAATTCAAGGACAAAGAAACACCTGAGCGTGTATATAAATTCTTTAGTGCGAACTTGCACTAATCGATAATTATTATACAATTTCCCACTTTCAAAAATTCGTCATCAATTATTTCGCATTTAATCATATAGTAAGAAAATTTCTACAAGCAAAGAAAAAAATTCTCATTTATAAAATTTCATTATAGTTTCTAACTATAATGTTTTTTTTCTTCACGAAGATTAATTTTTAACAAACGAAAATTAGAATTTTTGTTTTTTTTAATAACACCAAGAAAAAAATGTATTTAATCAAAATATAATTTATTTGAGTTAAGTAAAAGTATATCTGTCTCAGAGTTAAATAGATTATTTATTTCTTTTAAATACAAAAATTTTTTGACATAAATTAAACATAAAATTTGAGCCAAATAAAATTTTAATTGAAACAAATAAAAAGTCTAGTTGGTTCTGAGACAAATATACCATTTCTCTGGGTGTAGATGCAAATATGTTATCTTTCAGTAAAAAATTTTCTAATATTTTCGCGTAAAATACATGTTTTGTCCTTTTTTGAAAATTTTGTTTTCTTTTTAGGCCCAGGGTGTTTTTGGCTTTAACAAGAAATATAGAGGAAAGGCTTGGAGGTTGCCATACCTAAGCAGATGAGTTAGGTCCTCTTTTTAATGAGTTATAAGCAAAAAATGCTTATAACTCATTAAAAAGAGGACCTAAAAAACTACAAATTTGACCCATAGATAATTTAAATTGGCAAAAAATAAAATTTTTACATCAATTTTTAAAAATGATGTAAAATCAACGTTTCGAAATTTAGGCTTGCAGGTTGACCCACCTTGAAAAGTTGATAATAATATGGAACAACTCCAATAAATTTATAAATTTCACTTACATTTAATGTTTCTGAACATAATAATTTTAATTTTTTAAACAATTTATTAATAAATAAAATATTTTTGAAAAAAAAAAATTTTTTTTCAATTGAAAATCAAACGAAAAGCAAGATATGTGAAAAAAAATGAAATTTCGGAAATCGTGTAAATTTACCTAAATTATCATTGCGGATTCGCATTTCGGACCTGCAAACCGTAAAGTGAGTCAACCTACAATTTTGAACTCTTTTTTTAAATCGATGAAAAAAAATATTAAAACATGATATTTTAAAAATTCCTTTTGGATTATCAAAATTGATTAAAAAAGCAACTCAGAAAAAAATTGTAACTTAAATTATCCATAAAAATATTTCATTTGTAAGCGCATGAAAAAGGCACATTTTTAATTTTTCAATTTTTCCACAAGTCAATTTCAGAATTTGTTTAACAATAACATTTTTATTGCTTCTTTGTGCTCCAAAAGATCATAAAAGTAATAACTAATCATTTGACAACAATATCAGGCGCAATTTTTAATTATGGCATTTCTACAAAAAAAAATAACGCAAGTGGGACAACCTGCAAGCCTTTCCCCTACAACAGGCACGTAGCCAGAGGGGGGGCCCAGGGGGCCCTGCCCCCCCCCCCGAAATTTTTATATTGATATTTATATTTTTATTTTAACCATAGACTATCCCTCGAAAAAAATTTTGATTTCAAACTGGGACCCCCCCCGAAATAAATTTCTGGCTACGGGCCTGCCCTACAAAATCTGACTAAAAATATTTAGCAAGTAAAATACCTTTAGGTACATCTTCAGGGGACCCAAATAGGCTAAAATTCTTTTGGCGATGAGAATGAATCCAAAAAATATACTTAAAAGTTGAAATTTTCTTTTACGTAAAAATTTATAAATGTAGGGTCAAAACACACTTCATATTATGGACACCACAAAAATGAACAGAATGTTACATAACTTCGGACATTTATTTAGAATGATAACACCCTTCTATAATCAAAATTGCAATGCTCTAACTATATTTCCGTTCGAAAGATAATGAATTTTAACTGTTTTGACAGTTTAACATTTAGCCCCAGTCTCTCCTAAATATAAGAATTAGAATTTTTATTTTATTGTAACAAATATTTCGATATTTAAAATTTTATTTAAATCAAATAAATTTTTATTTACGTTAAACAAACTTTATTTATAGAGTAAGCTACACTCAGAAAAATGCATTTAAACCAAATATAATTTATTTTAGTTTAATAAAAGTATATATTTGTCTTAGAGACAAATTTATGTTTGAATTTAATATAAATATAAGCCAAGATGTTGAATTTGTCGCCTTGGTGATACTAATAATAATAATAATAATAGAAAAAGCTTTTTTGAATTTGTCATTAAATCCTTTTTTAATTTTCCAGGATGTCCTCTCAAAAGGAGACCATGGAAAAATCCACAAGGATGAGAAAAACAATCATAATAATCTTCAAAAAGTGAACTTACGTAATAATCATCTCAAAGGAAGTATCATACTCGGCAATTATGGTGTAAGTGTTTTCCCTAATCATATATTCACTTCTCTCACACTATTTATTTATTCCAACATAAACTTTCTCATTACAACGATAATGTAAAATTTCTAATTAATCTAATATCAAAATTGCATCATTTTCTTTTTAGAATTTAACACACTTGGACGTAAGTGAAAACAGCATCGAAAAGCTCGATATCAGTGCTTTACAAGAATTACGAAGCGTTCGATGTGCTAGAAATTCTCTAACCGAATTAACAGTTTGCGGTCGAAATTTGGTCTCACTTATAGCCGGAAATAATCGTAAGATCACGTTTCTTTTCTTTCTATTTTTATTTTTGTCGAATTGCCACAAATTCGTGAAAATTAAAAATTCAACCACTAAATGAAAATGAAAAATAGAAACAATTTTTCAAATGAACAATCTTTTACAGAACTCAAAAAATTGACAATCGAACCAACGCCAACTATTCTTGAACACTTGGATGTTTCTTAGTGAGTATTGCAAATTTTCCAACCAATATTTTAATAACATTTTTGTATCTTTCAATATTTACAGTAGAAAGGTGAGGCTGAAGTCCGTAACGTTTTAAAAAGCTAATGCGACGATTTATTTTATTTTGTCTTCTCATTCATGTTTTCTTTGAATTTTCGTTTCATAAAAACGTTGACTTCAGAGCTTCTTGTAAAAATAAAGTTCTATATTTTATAGCAGGAAAGAAAGTCTTTAGTTTTTGCTTCAGAATTTCAAAATTAATTGACAAGAGAAAAACGAATTTCTGTCTTGTGTTAATAGCAATTCACTGGATTCTCTGCCTGAATGGACACCAGAACTGCCAGTGTTACGTGCACTGTTTGCATCCCATAACGCCTTGACAGCTTTGCCAGACAGATTATTGTCTCAACCTTCAAGACTCGAAGTACTACATTTACCTCACAATAGATTACAGGCACTTCCTCCACCGAGAAGGCCTTTGAATATTGTTCACTTAACTCTACAGGGAAATGCTCTAACAGCGTTACCGACAAGTTTCTTTGTAAATACCGAAAAGTAAGCCATATTCTTTTATACAAAAATATATTTATACAGAAAATAAACGGCCAAATTCGAACCGTCTTCAAGTTTTAGGTATTAAACCCAAAATCGAATACAAATTGACACTTTCCTCTTTAGAGTGCTTATTTTTTTACTACACTGTCAGGCTTCGCACCCATCTATACTAAACCCTACTATTATTATACTACTATTTTTTACGATTTGCTACTATTTGGTAATAAAAAAAATTGTTCTCAAAAATTTTAATAAAATTCTTTGAAACGATTTAATTATTCTCAAATCATTTTAAGAAATTTTTCGCAAAAATTTAATTATTTTCTCAAATAATGAAATTCATGGCTAAAATTAAATTATTTTCAATATCATAAATTTAAATAGAATACACAAAAGAATTTCATAAAATTTTTGAAAGAAATTAATAATTATTTAAAATTTCTTTTATAAAATTCTTCGAAAGAATTCAATTATCTTAATAAAAATCAAAATTCTACCAGAAATTCAATTATTTTTAAGAATTTTAATAAATTGAATGCTCTTAATTCAATGATTTTCAAAATCTACTATTTTAATAAAATTCCCCGAAAGAATTTAATTACTTTCAAAATTTCTTTTTACTCTCTAAAACTGAATCAGTGACTCTATTCTCGCGATTTAAATCAGTTAAAAATGATTGAAATTTCAGTCATTTTTCACTGATTGGTCAATTAAAAAATAACTGAAATTTTCAATATGTGTGACAGAAATTTACAGTAGTTTTTTAATTGGCGAATCAGTGGAAAATGACTTTTATAAAATTCTTCGCAATAATTCAATTATTTTCATAAATAATAAAACTTATCACAAAGTTAAATTATTTTCAAAAGTGATAATATTCTTTACAGAAATTTAATTATTTTGAAAATTTAAAAAAAATCTCATAAAGATTTCAATTATTTTCATAAATAGCAAAATTCTTCGCCGAAATTCAATTATTTTGACAAATTTTGATAAAAGTAATGTCAAACTTTCAATTCCTTTAAAAAATTGCTCTTAATTCAATGATTTTCAATATTTTTTCAATTTAAATAGAATTTCACAAAAGAATTCAATTCCTATTTAAAAAAAATGTTAATGAAATTCTATGCAAAAACTCCAATTATTTTCATACATAATAGAATTATTATAGAAATTCAAATATTTTAAATGCAATTCTCATGCAATTTTTTGAAAGAAATTAATTATTTAAAATTTCTTTTATAAAATTCTCCGAAAGAAATCAATTATTATTGAAAATTTTTTAAATTTTTTTTACAAAAATTCACTTATTTTCAAAAATTTTAATAAAATTCTTCGCAAGAGTCCAATTATTTTTTTATCAATTATTTATATTTGTATTTAAATAACTGAATTCTTGTAGAACTTTCTAACAAGAATTTATATTAAAATAAATTTCAGATAAATTTGTAGATAATAACTGAATATTAGAAGCGTTACAATATGAATTTTTAGAAATAATTAAATTTCAAATGATTTTTAAATTGTTTGTCTTTGAAAATTTTTAATTGTTGTAAAACTTTAATAATATTTAAATATTTATCATAAACAATTATGTATTTTTATTTTCCAAGAGAATTATTAAAGTTTTTAATTATTTTATTTAAAAATTCCAAAAAATGACTGAATTATGGAAGAATTACAATTTTAATTTTTAGTAACAATTAAATTTCAAAAAGATTTTACATTGAAATTATTTTAAATATTAATTCCCGTGGAAAAATATATAATATACACCACCGTCCGTAAGTATCAGGACGCCCCTTTTTTCATGAGTGGAAAAATGCTTAAAACTTAGAAAATAAGAATGACAAAAATTTTTCGTATTTTTTTCCTGAAAGCTAATGAAATTATGAAAAGACTGACACCTGATCGAAGAATTTTCGTTGACTATTCTGTCAGATACAGAAAAAATACTGGATTTTGCATGCTTTTCGTAAATTTTAATTTCTCGAAAACTAATTAACTTTTATTAGCGCTCTTGGTCTTGTTTTAATCTCTATTTAATGTAGAATCTAAATTATTAACTGGTATTGTGAAATAAATTTTTCCAAAAAAATTTGAAACCGTAAAAGTAGGATTAAAAAAATTCAAAAAATTATCGTGAATATTAAAGTGTCAAAAAGGTCAATGTAAAATATGTTCATTTAATAGATATACTAAAATTCAAAAAAGCTTTTTAATTACTTAATTATTTAAATTAAAAAAAAATTTTTTGTTGAAAAAGTGTCAATCTGTTTTTCAAAATTTTTTTATCCGATTTTCAGTTTCAAATTTTCTTGGAAAAATTTATATCACAATACCATTAATTAATTTAGATTCTACATTGAATAGAGATTGAAACAAGACCAAGAACGCTAAAAAAAGTTAATTAGTTTTCGAGAAATTAAAAAATTACGAAAAGCATGCAAAATCCAGTATTTTTTCTGAATCTGACAGAATAGTCAACGAAAATTCTTCGATCAGGTGTCAGTCTTTTCATAATTTCATTAGCTTTCAGGAAAAAAATACGAAAAATTTTTGTCATTCTTATTTTCTACATTTTAAGCATTTTTCCACTCATGAAAACTCATTTGAAAAATTGTAATTAAAACTTTTTGAAGTTAGTTAAATTCCCGTAAATATTTTAAAAAGATTAGTTAAATTTACAATTAATTTAAGATTTTGTCAAATTTAATTTAAATAAATTTTATATTGTAAAGAATATAATTTTTTCACTTTTAAAAATTATTTTTACATATAATCGTGTATTTTTGAAAAATTCCAACTAAACTTTTGGAAAATAACTCAACTTTATAAAAATTTAGAATTGAAGGCAGAATAAGAAAGGAAAGTAAATATTTTTGATAAAAATCAGCAAAAAGTCAGGGAAATACTGAATCAAATTTTTGTGAATCGAGTAAAACGAGTTTTTTTTAGTCGTCAAATTTAATTTTTCAACGACAGTTATCGATATTTTTTACTTCTTTTTCTAGTCTTAAAGCTACTTTTTGCGACTTTTTTAAATGTAAGGGAGATTGGGGAATTGTGGGACACACTTTTTTTTAGCTCAATATATTACACACAAAATTTTTTTTTTCAAATTTTTAAAGTTTTCGTGTCAGTAAGAGGTATAAACTAACATATATCATAGTCAGTTTCCCAAAATTATCACTTACACTGAGAGACCTTTGGGTCAGCAGCAGACTTTCGATAGGCTGCTACTGACCATTTTGGAGGAACGCTACAGGACTATACTTTTGGGTTGCTGCGGTAAAATCTTGGGCGCGTGACAGTCCCAAAGTTGTTCAGCTGCAAACCAAAGGCGGCATTCCCACTAGTTCGGTGAGCTGCTCACCAACATTTGGGACTGTCACGTGCCCAAAATTTTACCGCAGCGCACCAAAACCACAGTGGAGCTGCTGTCACATACGTTGTTCCGCTACAGTCCCAAAGGTCTCTCAGTGTATACCTTAAAGAAATTTCATTTTTACCAAAGAGTCCAATTTTATGATTTTTAAAAATGTTGGGAAATTGTGGGTCACTTCCTAAATTGAGTTCAAAATAAAAAATAACGATGAAATACAGTGGAACCTCGATTATCCGAACTAACCTAGGCAAGGCCGGGTTCGGATAATAGAAGTTCGGATAAAATGATTTTCGGTTCGGATAATAGAGGGTTCGGATAACAGAGGTTTGGATAATCGAGGTTCCACTGTATATTTATTAAATGGTTAAAAATATTAAAAACGTTATAAATGTTTAATTATTAGTTTAAAATTAAAAAAGAAAAAGTAAGAAAATGAAATTAATCGGAATCAGAATTTTGACAAGTAAAATAGGCGCACGGAGAGAAATTTCTATTAATATTTACCGTGCTGCCACCTGAAACTGTGATGTCCAAAGTACATTCTGGCAGTTTTTACCGTGCTGCCTCTATAATTTTGCATTACAGATTGTAGAGGCAGCACGGTAAAAACTGCCAGAATGCACTTTGAACACAGTTTCAGGTGGCAGCACGGTAAATATTAACAGAAATTTCTCTCCGTGCGGCATTAATTACAAATTTTTAAGTGAACAGCTTTATCGCAATGAATCGAATTTTTTTTGTTAAATTACTATAACTATGAGTGATTTTAATAATATGAAACTGCATTGTGCAATTAAATCGCCAAAAACAAGCAATTACACTGTAAAAAATTTAGGGAGTTAACGGACTCGGGAGTTGGGAGTGAAATTTTTCGAGTTAAAAATCAACTCCAAAAGAGAGTTAATTTCTAACTCCCTTCATTCAACACCCGCGCGAGTTATTTTTTCCTTGGGGAGTTAGCATTTGGGTGTGAAATTTTAACTCTCTTTATTTAACTCCCCTGGCATTAACTCCCCAAAGGGTGCGACTTTTATAGACCCCTGGGGGAGTTAAAATTTAACTCCCTTTTTTTACAGTGTAATACTTCCCTAAAAAGAGTGGCCCACAATTCCCCAAATGCTTTATTTTACATAAAGCTTTGTATTATCTATTCATTTTAATTTGATGCAAAATTTCTTTTTGGAGTCAAAGTACCAATGCCACACAATAATTAAAAAAATTTTTCATAATTTATTCTTGAAAATACTTGTAAAAACAATAAAAACATGAAGGCCCAAAATAAATATTTGTATATGCAATTTTTTAGGTGATTTTCGTTTACGATTTGTAGATAATTGTAAAGCGTTGTAAAGTAATAAAATGCTAATGAAAAATTTACTTTGGACGAACAAAAAAAAATTTTTTAAAATTGGGTGATTAAACTTATAAATATTATTAAATAATTGAGGTGGCCCACAATTCCCCAATCTCCCCTAATTATCGAGTGCGAAGCCTGCAATGTTACAAATTTTTGCTCCAAATTTTATAAAAAAATTGTTGAAGCAATTATCAGAGGGACATAAAATCTAAACCGTTTCAGAGATATTCCCAAATATTTATTTGCACTTTATATTTTTATACTATACCCTAATCTGTAAATGATTTCTTTCAGAATGAAGGTTTTAAACCTCTCCAATAACCGTTTGTCAGAATTATCATTTTCTGATCAGGGAAACAAAAATCGTCACATTTCTCATGCACTGGAAAAGTTGTACTTAACCGGAAATTGTTTAACCGATACAGTTCTGGATGCACTTTCGAAATTTCCATCACTGAGAGTTCTGCACATGGCCTATAATGTGCTCGATACTCTTCCTGAAAGGTGAGCCTACCAACGATCAAATAAAACACCAAATGCTCATTAACAAACAAATAAACAAATTATAATATTATCAAAATTTCCAAGTCCTATAAAATTTTTTTGCGGACATCAAATTGAGACAAAAAACGAATCTAAAGTGTCGCGAAGGAAGACAAATTTTTTGTCTCAAATTTGATATCCTTAAAAAAAACTGTGTTCCTAATTTTGTTCCTAAAATTGCATAAGAAATTTCAAAGAAAAAATCAAAGTCTAAAGATTTGTTTCCGGAATATAATGGAATTTAATTTCCAGTTGCATTGCATCTTGGACTGAACTAGAGGAATTAGTTCTATCAGGAAATAGACTACAGTATTTGCCAGACAATGTTTCACACTTGAAGCATTTGCGGGTTCTTCGAGTACACTCTAATCGACTACTCATCTGTCCCACATTTAACAAGACTACATCCTTGAAGGTATAAATTACACCAGCAAATTCCACCAGTTAATCACTAAATAGAATTATTGCTCTCAGTCTCAATATTAAGAAAATTTAATTTATTTCCCATTACTCAGGTATTGGATTTAGCTCACAATCAATTGGATAGAGTAAATTTATCGACGCTAGTACCGCCTCAATTACAATTCCTGGATATATCCTGTAACACTCGTCTTCACGTGGATCCACGTCAATTCCAAGTTTACAGATCTCAAAGACCAGTTTCCCTTGTCGATGTATCCGGTCAGAATAGACCAAGTTTGCCATCTCATCCTCAACAACAAGAAACTTCAACAGGGGATAAAGGTTTCGAACAACCATGGAGACTCGGATTCTCCGAAACGGCCGGAACAAGAGAAAAGTAAATCAAACATTCATTTTTTCTTTAGAAATATTACAGAGTTGACACCAAAAACTTAATTTTTATTTTCCCTGACCCTAAAGGATATTTTGAATCACTCTCAAAATGACTAGATACTCAAAACAATGATCAAATTATGATTTAATCCACTTTTTGGTATTAATCTGTTGCAATTTGATACTTTTAAATTAAGCATGTGCGAATTTCATTCATTGTAAAATTATTCGAAAACATCAATAGTTTTATTTAAAATCAAGATTTAGTCAATATTATTTTTCCGTAGGAATTAAGATTTTCAAAAATTTATAATTCAAACCTTTTTGAGACTCAATAACTTATAAGAATATATTATAAAACATGAAGAAATCGATCACTCCGAGCCGATGACTCGGAATAATCGATTTCTTTAAAATAATCAAAAATAACCCAGTGATAAAATTATTATTTAATATTATAAAAATATTCTCCCACACAGCACGTTAAATTTCCTGAATATGTCCTGAATATTTCGTTGAAATATTGAAATATTTCAATAAAAGGTTCATAACATGTTGATGAAGCAGTGAAATGTCCGCCTAAAAGAAATATTGCAGTATTTGGTTGTATGAATATTTCAGTGAAATGTTCAGGAAATATAAGAATGAAAAATGACTGAAATCTTAATTTTAAATATTCGTGAAATAAGAAAAACAATATTTTACAAATTTGTAAGTGAAATATTTTTGTAAGATTGTTTATATAAATTGTAGAAATATCAAAATGAAATATTTCTAATGTGTGAATAATACATATTAAGGGAATATTATCTAGATATATTTGTGAAAAATAAAAAAACAATAATCACAGAAATAAATTGTGGTAGTGATTGTGAAAATATTTTTTAAAAATTGTGTATTCAGTAAAATCGTGATAATTTATTTACCAAAAAATATGCGACCAGACTAAATTACTACACTTAAAATGGGTTTGCACAAAACTCGTACTCACGAGAACGATATTTGTGTCTTAAAAGTATTCAAAGATTACAAGAAACTTTAAGTTTTGAAATATAAATTCTCTTTAATAGAGAAACGCAAGAATTACTTTAAAGTACATTTATTATAATTTTTATTTTTTACAATTTATTTATCTATATAATTCTACTTTTATACTTACTGTTCATATATGTTAATCATGTTACATATGTTGCCGCTTACGTGTAATAAATAATCACGATTTAACTAAAAACACAATTTTTGTAATTTTCACAATCACTACCACAATTTATTTCTGTGATTATTGTTTTTTTATTTTTCACAAATATATCTAGATAATACTGTCTTAATATGTATTATTCACACATTAGAAATATTTCATTTTGATACTTCTACAATCTATATAAACAATCTTTCAAAAATATTGTTTTTCTTATTTCACGAATATTTAAAATTAAGATTTCAGTCATTTTTTATTCTTATATTTCCGGAACATTTCACTGAAATATTCATACAACCAAATACTGCAATATTTCTTTTAGGCGGACATTTCACTGCTTCATCAACATGTTATGAACCTTTCATTGAAATATTTCAATATTTCAACGAAATATTCACGACATATTCAGGAAATTTAACGTGCTGTGTGGGCTTATTGTAACTTCTTCAAAATTATTTTCATCATTTCAATTCAATTATTATTTTCTAGATTTTTTAACTAAATTCTTCTTCAAAACAATTATTTTTAATACCTAATTTTTGAAAAAGTTCTTTAAGAATGTTATTTCGAACATGTTCAAATCCATTTGTTTGCAATTCACTTTTACGAAATTTCGATTATTCGGAAATTCTTTAATTAAATATATATTAGAAAATAAATAGTTCAAATAATTAAAAAAATTCAAATAAACTTTTCCAAAAACATTAATTTTACAGCATTGTTAATTAAAAATACGAAAAATTGAAATTTTCAAAGATTTTAATTTGAAATCTTCTCAAAATTCAATTATTTCTAAAAATCCATGCTATACCTAATGCTTTTAATATTCAATTATTGTAAAATTTTAAATGAAATTAATTTTTAAATCAATTTTTATTAGAAAATTCTGCTAGAATTCAATTATTTAAATATCAAAATAAATAATTTATTGAATAATTGGATTTTTCTTAAAATTCAATTCCCATAAAGAATCTTATCAATAAATTTCTAAATAATTGAATTCTTTCGACGAATTTTAATAAAATTTGTAAGAATAATAACATTTTTTTAAGAAATAATTGAAATTCTGCAATGATTATTATTTCTAAAAAGAATTTTAGAAACATTTTTTGAAGAATTCATTCTTTTTGAAAAAATGCATGTCAATTCTTTTTTAAATAGTTGAATTCTTATGAAATTGTTATTATAAAGAATATTATTATAAATTATTATTATTATAAATATATTATTATAAAGAATTTGATCAAATAATTTTTTTTTTTTAATTATAGAATCCTTTGGAAATTTTTATTAAAATAGTACACAGGAGATTTTCAAATCTTTGAATTAGGAGAATTTTTTAAAAATAATTGAATTTCGACGAAGAATTTTAAGATATACATAATTGAAATCTTAACGAAAATTTTTTAACAATTTTTGAAAATAATTAAATGTCTCCGAAGAATAATTGAATTTCTAGAAAGAATTATATCGACGAATTTTAATAAAATTTTTAAGAATTTTTCGATGCAAACATTTAAACACTTTTCGAGAAATAATTGAATTTTTACAATGAGTTTTATTATTTATGAAAAATTGAAAATGTCAGACTATAAAGTTAATTATTATTTAATTATTCGAGTTTTAGTCTCAAAAGAACTTTAAATTCAAATATAAAGACCCGCGTTTTTTGGTCATTTGTATATTCGACCAATCAGGAAATTTATAGAAAAGTCACATGACTTATTGAAACGCGATAGCGTTTCAGTTCACTGGTAGCGTCCATGCTTAAAGTATCGCCTCGTGGTCGTTTCTCATTCTTTAATAAAATACTTATATTTTACTCTAATTACTGTGTCTGATTACCTCTGGTTTACCCAACTTTAATAGGTTATGGGCCCAGACATACGTGAGTGGAAAAATATTAACTCTTTCGTGTAGAAAACAATCGTTTAGTTTACGTTCAGTGTATAGTGCGAATCACGCGTGGTCGCGATGAATTTTTCGAGGATTGAACTTCTCGATAAGCAAAATTTCGACACATGGAAATTACAAATGCAGGCGGTATTAATAAAAGCCGACCTGTGGGATTTCGCAAATGGAACTGCATTAAAACCCGAAAGAGGTGCCAACGATCCGGTTACAGCAGCAGAACAAACATGGATAAAAAATGACCAGAAGGCTAGGTCGGACATAATTCTTTCGATTTCCACACCAGAGCTGAAACAAGTAAAAAACTGCTTGACTTCTCGAGAAATGTGGCTCAAGTTGGAAGAGATTTACCAATCGAAAGGTCCGGCCAGGAAGGCCACGCTTCTAAAAAGACTCACAGTGCAAAAAATGGCGGAAGGACATGACGTTAGGGATCACCTCAACCAGTTTTTCGACACAGTCGATAAGTTAGCGGATATGGAAATAGATATAAATCCTGATCTACTGACGATAATGTTGCTGTACAGTCTCCCGGGAAGTTACGAGAACTTCAGGTGCGCCATCGAGTCGCGAGATAACCTGCCAACACCAGAAATAATGCGAACAAAAATATTAGAAGAGAGTGATGCGCGAAAAAGCAGTCGACAAGCTGAAAATTCAGACGCCATGTTGGCAAACAAATACAGTGGTCAGAAACGTAAACAAGTGAGTGCAAAAGTTAAACATAACGACAAAACGGATCAAAAACCTCGATTTAAATTTCAGTGTCATACATGCAAAAAATTCGGACATAAGAAATCCGAATGTCGTTATAACAAAGACAATAATCACTCGGCTAAAACCGCGGAAGAACTGTGTTTAAACGCGATTAATCACTCGAGAATCGGTTTCGGTAAAAATTGGTGTTTGGACAGCGGTGCTTCAACCCATTTGTGAAACGACGAGAGAATTTTCCAGGAAATTACTGATCCTAAACACGGAGTGTTAAATTTAGCGAACAACTCGACATCGGAGACTCTAGGAAAAGGAACAGTGAAATTTAAAACTTGTGTCAATGGTGATTTAAAGTGTATTTCGCTCGAGAATACGTCCCATGCCCCTGATCTAAGGACAAATTTAATGTCAGTCTCGAAAATTACCGATCAAGGTTTCAGTGTTTTGATCGACAGTAAATGCGCGAAAGTTCTAAATTCGAAAGGTGAAATGCAACTTTACGCAGAAAGGATGGGTAATCTGTATTATGTGAAGGAAGCTTGTGATAGTGCAAATATAGTATCAAATTCGAAAGTGTGCAAAACGACGCTCGAGATTTTACATCGACGTTTCGGTCACGCAAATTTCAGAGACATTCGCGACGCGGTTAACAAAGGTGCAGTGACAGGTGTAGAACTCGAAAAATCCGAAAATGTGTTTGACTGTGAAACTTGTCTTAAGGGGAAGATGACAAGAACCCCCTTCTCAAAAGTGTCCAACCGAAAATCTGACATTTTGGATATAATTCACACGGATGTGTGGGGCTCGATAAAAACAGCCTCACTCGGTGGAGCAAAGTACTACGTCGAATTTATCGACGATCACTCCAAGTATTGTGAAATCAGGTTTATGAAGTCCAAAGCGGAAGTGTTCGAAAAAATCAAAGAATATGTGGCCTTGGTGGAAAGACAAAAGGGCAAAAAGGTCAAAATGATTCAGTCAGACAATGGACGCGAGTATATAAACACAGAATTCGACAACTTTTTAAAACAATAAGGAATCTCGAGAAGACTTACGGTACCATATAACCCCGAGCAGAACGGGACTGCCGAAAGAAAGAATAGAACACTTTTGGACACAGCAAGGTGCTTATTGATGGATGCCAATTTACCGGATCAATATTGGGCAAAAGCAGTAAACACTGGAAATTATCTAAGGAATCGGATGCCTGCAAAAAGTCTCAATGGAAAAACTCCATACGAAGAATGGACGGGAAACGCGCCTGATGTGTCAAATTTGCGAATTTTCGGAAGCAAAGTTTACTATTTGGATCGAGACCCTGGAAGAAGTAAACTTGATCAGCGTGGTCACGAGGGAAAGTTTCTTGGATACTCGGACGAATCAAAAGCCTACCGAATTTGGTCGACGGAAAAACGGAAAGTGATCATGAGCCGAGATGTAAAGTTTCTCGAAGACGCGAATATTCATCGAAAATCAAAACAACAAAGCAATTACGTCAAAAAACATCGAAAGAGATACGGAACATCGTTTTACCATCTTGGAGCACGAAGCAGAACCGAAAAATCGTGAAACAGTATCTGAAAATAACGAAACAAGTGAAATCGAAAACGATGACGACTGGTACTCAACCGGAGAACAGGAAGATTTTCAGGGATTTAACAACGACACAGTGACAGAACCCACACAACAAAAAATAGAACAACCTTCAAGAGACGTCAACATCGAAATCGAGAACGAGACAAGAGAAGCACCAGCAGAGGAAGAAAAAAGAAAACCAGGACGACCCAAGGGAAGTAAATCCAACGTCAAATCTCAAAGTGACTTGCCACGAATCAGTACGAGAAGCGGATTAAGAAGCAATACCAAATTGGAGAACAATCAATCTGCGAGTACCAAAGAAGTTGGCGAGATGGAAACTGAGGATCAAACCTACCTTTCTGAAATTTCAATAAGGGAAGCTTTGAGGGGAAGAGATGCTGATGAATGGCAAAAAGCAATTGCCATAGAAATGAAATCACTCATCAAGAAAAAGACTTGGATTTTAACAGAACGTCCAAAAGATGGTTCAAAGCTCATAGGAAGTCGAATGATCCTGCGAAACAAGGTGAATCCAGATGGCTCAATAGAAAGAAGAAAAGCACGGCTAATTGCACAAGGATTTAGTCAACAACCTGGGATACACTTTGGTCAAACATTCGCACCAGTAGCTCGTTTCAGCACCATTCGACTCTTGGCTTCTCTCTCTGCAAAACTCGATCTGAAAATAAAGCCATTCGACATTGAATCGGCATACCTCAACGGAGAATTAGACGAGAAAATCCTGATGGAACCCCCGAAACACTTCAAGGACTATCTACAACATGTGATCGACATCGAAAGTGACAGTGAAACAGGAAAACACGCGAAGAAAATGTTAAGTGATTTTAAAGGCAGTGACAAAGTGTGTCTTTTAAAAAAGTCGATATACGGACTGAAACAGGCCGGAAGAACATGGTATCAGAATTTCGACGGAATTCTGCGGAAATTCGGTGCCAATCCAACGACGGGAGATCCTTGCCTTTTTCAATCCGGAGCAGGGGAAGAAATCTTGCTGATTGTCATCTACGTCGATGACATTTTGGTAGCCGCTAAAAAGGAAAAACGAATTAATGATTTTCGAAAAATGTTATCTTCTGAATTTGATATAAAGGACCTCGGCGATGCAAAATATTGCTTGGGCGTAGAATTCACTCAAACGAAAAATGAAGTGAAAATGTGTCAACAGGGTTACGTCCATGAATTACTCGAGAGATTCGAGATGACTAATTGCAATCCAGTCAGCACGCCAATGGACCTCGGAACCAAACTCAAGAAAAACGAAGAAGTGAGTGACGAAGAGCAAAAGCTCCCATATCGCGAATTAGTGGGTGCTCTTACTTACTTGTCAGTGACAACTCGTCCCGATATATCGTATTCAATCAGCAAATTGGGACAGTTCAATAACTGTTACGGCATAGAACACTGGAAGGCCGCAAAACGGGTGCTTCGGTACCTAAAGGGAACAGCTGACTCAGGAATCGTATTCAAAAAACAACTGGGACCTATCGAGGGATTTGTGGATGCGGATTGGGGTGGTTGCCTTGAAGACCGGAAGTCTCAAACCGGATACTTGTTTATGTTAGGAGGCGGACCCATCTCCTGGGATTCACGTAAACAAAAAACCGTGGCCCTTTCGACTTTCAGCGAATCGTCCAGGAACTCGGTTTCGGTGAACTTGGAAATCTCACGATTTGGTGCGACAACAGGAGTTGTCTCTCCTTGGCGGAAAACCCCACATTTCACGCAAGAACCAAGCATATAGACATTCGCCATCATTTCATACGTGAAGTGCTCGGAAAGATACTTTTCTCAGTGAAACATATTCCTAGTGAAAAGCAGGTAGCTGATTTCCTTACCAAGGGACTTTGTAAATCCAAATTAGTGTTTTGTGCGACGTCAGCTGGTTTGAAACAGCTTAAGTGATATTCTGTTTGTTTAGAGACTCTTACTCGAGGGGTAGTGTCAGACTATAAAGTTAATTATTATTTAATTATTCGAGTTTTAGTCTCAAAAGAACTTTAAATTCAAATATAAAGACCCGCGTTTTTTGGCCATTTGTATATTCGACCAATCAGGAAATTTATAGAAAAGTCACATGACTTATTGAAACGCGATAGCGTTTCAGTTCACTGGTAGCGTCCATGCTTAAAGTATCGCCTCGTGGTCGTTTCTCATTCTTTAATAAAATACTTATATTTTACTCTAATTACTGTGTCTGATTACCTCTGGTTTACCCAACTTTAATAGAAAATTATAAAATTCCTAAAAGAATTTTATTATTTGTAAAAATAATTGAATCTCTGTAAAATATTTTATTGTTTATGAAAATAATTGAATTTCGGAGAAGAATTTTATTATTTATAAAAACAATTGAAATTTTGACGAGATTTTTAAAAAATTTTTGAACATAATTGAATTTTTGCGAAGAATTTTATTACTTTTGATAATAATTGAATTTTTGCAATCATTTGTAACTTCACACAAATTCAATTTTTTTAGTACTTTAAATTAAAATTCTTCTTTAAATACAATATTTAATTATTGTAGGAAATTATATGCTGATTAAGAATTTTAATTATAAAAGATTTCGACTATATAAAACACCTAATCTAACTCTAAACCAAAGAGTTCAATCGACATCTAATAGATGTCACTAATTGCTGATATAGTCGAAATCTTTCACAATTACAATATTTAATTATGATTAAATAGTATATTAAGCAACAAGAGGAGAAAGGCAGCCATTTCTTTACGGTGATTTTTGTGACACGAGTGGAGGTCGAGGGCGCCGTAGGCGCCCCGAGACCGGAACGAGTGTCACAAAAATCATCGTAAAGAAATTGGCTGCCTTTATTCTCGTGTTACTTACGATATTTTTTATTCCTAATGCACAAAAGCGGCGATTTCAGATAGCAGACGACAGGGAGTAAAAGTCATTCACTTGTTCGATTTGTATGAAAATGGCGGCCGATTTCTCCCTTGGGCAAGAAAAATGCATGTGAACAGCTAATTTTCTTGCCCTTGGGAGAACACGGCCGCCATTTTCATACGGTCGAAGAAATGAATGACTTTCCTCCCTGTCGGCTGCTATCAGAAAGCGCCGTTTTTGTGTATGTGGGATAAAAAGTCTTTTAATTTTTTATTTATTTGACAATGTTTTTTAGTTGAGAAACATTATAACCGATACCTCGATCGGGACGGGACCCTCAAATATTGAAGAACTGTTATAAAATTAATTCAAAATTAATTGCATTTTAAAAGAGTTGAGTTTTATTTAGAAATTTTATAAAATTTCAATTTTGAATGAATTTTATTAAAAGTTTTAAAGAACTTAGATTTTTGAAAAAAATTTAATAATTCAAATTCTTTATAAAAAATTTTATCTAATTTCAGAAGAATTTGAATTATTAAATTTTTTTCAAAAATCTAAGTTCTTTAAAACTTCTAATAAAATTAATTCAAAATTGAAATTTTATAAAATTCCTAAATAAAACTCAACTCTTTTAAATTCAATTAATTTTAAAATATGAAAGTAAAATTATTCATTAAATAATTTATAAGTACCTAATAATTTTATGACTGTTCTTCAAGGATTGACGGTCCCGTCCCGATCGAAGAATCGGTTATAATGTTCCTCAACTAAAAATCATTGTCAAATAGATAAAAAATTAAAAGGTTTTTAATCATAATTTTTGGAGGAACTTTTTCGTAATCTGTATACAAATACGAAATATGCTTACAAGAAATTAAAATTTTAAACCTTTTTTTAGTTAAAAAAAAGATAAATTTGAGCCTTAACAAATTATAAGCTGTTCTTCGATCGGGACCTTCAATTAAGTTATTTAAAAAAATGATTGTCAGAAATAGAAAAAATTGAAGGTCTCAAAAATGAAAAAGTTAATTATAAAAATAACTAAATAGACATTTCGATTTCCAGACTTTTCGTTTCGCAAGTGCGAATGCCAACCTTTTGCAACGTGGAAGGCCTTTTTGGAATATTCGACGGAGGTTCGAATCAGGAGGCGCCGAGTGCTCTTCAAGAAATGATTCCACGACTCCTTTTGGAGGAGAGAACTATCAGGGAGACTTCCAACGAATACCTAAAATACACTCTACTATCAGCTCATCGGGAACTGAAAGAAAAGGGCCAAAAGTACGGAATCGACGCCACTTTATGTCACATAACAAGAGTGCCAAACACTCAAGGCTTTCCAAGAACGACAAGAAAATATTCCCTAAAAGTCGCATCATCCGGCGATGCAAAAGCCGTTCTTTGTCGAGCAGCAGGGCCTCTTACTCTGGCGAATTCGAAAAAAATCGCAGTCAAGAATCAACTGGGTAATGCGGCGATGTTTCCTCTAATAGTTCCCGATCCGACGGTGGAAGAAGTGATGCTCGAGGACGATGACGAATTTGTCATCATCGCCAACAGGCGAGTGTGGGAAGTCCTTAGTGTTCAGGAAGCTGTCAGGGAGGCTCGAGCTGAGGCCAGTCCTGTTCTAGCAGCGAAACGACTGCAGGACTTGGCTCAAGCTTACGGAGCTGAGGATAATTTGAGTATTGTAGTCGTGAGACTAACCGGACCCGGACAAGGCGACTTGGACCAATTGATGCGAGAACTAAGACAGGCGGTCAACAAAAATAGAAATCAGAACGAGAACGTCTGCTCTTGTCCGTGTTGCATTCCACCGACACCACATAAACCTCCAGCACCCTGTTGCTGTCATGTCAATAACGAAGGGTACTATCTCAACGGAGTCTTGAAAAATATTGTTAATAGGTAAGAAAAACTTTCTTTCATTAATATTTATTTATATATTAGGAATTAAGGGCAAGTTTCACCAACACCGCGATAGTCTTTAACTTTTCTGATTACTATTATATTAAGAATTAAGTCTCTGTCATTGCTAACGACATGACAGTTATCGTCAAAAATCGTGATAGCAGGGCTCGAACCAGTCAAAGTATTTAAAAATACGTACTTTACGGACAAAAATTAAAAATTAAGGACCATTTATGGACCAATTACTGACAAAAATATAACCAGTCCGAGTTAAACAAGAGAAAAACATTAATTCTACAGAATTGTTAGTTAAAAGTATGAAAAATTCAGTTATGATTTATTTAATTCTTTGTCAGTTGACAGAAAAAATCCCTAAAAACGAAAAAATTGTGTCAAAAATTTTGAAAGTTCGGAAAAATTATACCAGATCTTCTAGAGTTTTAATATAAACTGAGCTAGATATTTGTTGTCAATTGTGCTATGATGATACATACGTAATGCGCTAACTTTTTATTGATTATTTTAAGAGAAAAGTGGAAAAAACTGAAAAACTAGGATTTCATTTAGAGAGTGTAGGTGGGCACCCACCAGGCACCCAATCTGACGATTTTTGACCCGATCAAAACTTTCAATCACAATCCTAACAAACTTTCTCCATTTCCAGATCTACAAAATCGCACAACGGCTCGGGGCGCTTCTTCAAAAATTCAAAAACCACAGAACGCGCAGAGAACGAGAGTCCACCGTTTGGCGACGATCGCAGTTCCCCCAGTGGACAATCCGATCAGACCAGTGACAGCACCTTCAAATCGCGCAGACCTTCCGGTCGCACCTGGACCGGAAATGCAGCATCGAGAGCTGCAAACAAGGTGCGACAGAATACCGCAGTACTACAGGAAACCCTCCCCAATCGAAAATCACCAATTAATCCGCCAACGCCAGACGACATCGTGCCCGACAGATCGGGAGCCCTCACCGACGAGCAATTTCGCTGCTGGGAATACATGCTCGAGCAAAACACTCAACTTCTATTCGACAAAGAATTGGACACCCTCACGAGGTCGCCACTGAGAAGAGGTCAGTCTAGATCAACGCCACAACTTGCTGGTAACTTGCCCTTTTTGTCCAAACGATTCGGCAGTGCCAGATCCTTCAATCCTGTTTTACCTCGATCATCAATGGTCAGGTTTGGCAGTGGAAGGAGATTATTAAATGGCGGTCCGAATGCCGCCTATTTTGGTAGTCTGCAAAGACTTATGCCGTATAACTTGGAGTATGATTTTGCAGTGATTCAAGAAAGAAGCGGTTTGGACTCCCTCGAACAGGATGCGTCCAGGATGCAACAATATTGGGGGGTTGCCACTACTGAACTCTAATCCCGGCCCACCGTTCCTTGGGAGTCATTGTAATTATATGTACGCATAGTCACATACTGTTTTTTTACTTTTATATAGCTTTTTTATTTTCTTTTTTTCTGTATATTCTCATCACAGAAGAAATTATTATATTTTCTAACATTGAAACTTTTCAATATTACTGAAAAAACTAACGAAAGACTGATCAAAATCAAACGCACTATTAAAATTAAAAATTAGATCGAAGTGAAATCAAATCGAAAATCAAAATGCAAATGAAATAATTTCAAAAGCACACTGCAAAAATGTCTGTCTTTTTTGATATCTTAAAATAAGATGTAAGATGGAAAAATGGTATCTTACATCTCAAAATAAGATGTTTTCTAAAGTATCTTACTGATATTTAAGATGCTTTATACGTTTTAGTAGTGATCCAGATATTTCTTCCATCTTAGAAAAGTAAGTTATTTCGGGTAGTTTTTTAAAGTATCTTAAGATGTTTAGTGATAAGTTACTTGTGAATTGTAAGATGCGAAAAAAATTTAAGTTACTAAAAATTAAGATGCATAAAGTGTTTTACATACACTGAGAAAAAAATGCTATCGAATCAATGACATATTTGTTTGTTGCAATAAACGGCATATTCAATATCGTTCGAATACAAACACTGTTGGTTTAATAACATGTGCTATTGATTATTGCACTATAGATTTAAATAAATCTTGTATTATATTATTACAGAAGTTATACACGGAAAAACCTTTGAGAAGTCTGCCTTCCCACTGTCACAAAATTTCGCTTCTCACTGCATGGAAAGTCTGATCGCCCGCCACTGGGTGCGTAGCATTACCGTTTTCGATAGACAAACTTCCCAAAAAGTTTAGAAAATTACAACTGGGTACGTTGGTCACCCAGTTTGGGAGTGCAGATGAACAAGTTTAGTGGTGGCGCTGACGCATAAGTTTCGGGTGAGCAGACTGCTTAAAGGTTTTTCCGTGTAATGTTAATAGAAAATTCTTTAATATTAGGAAATGCATTTCGTAGGTACACTGCAAGCCTGATCAGCGGTCAGCTCCGGGGGTGCTCGACCGCTGATCGGGCGTAAACATATAGGACCGTACGAACTGTTTTATGATGGGGTACCATTACTTGACTACTGAATTTTTTTTAAGGGGCCAAAGCGTCTTTAATGTATACGCTACTGCCACAACTTTTCGACTCCCTCATGGCCCCTCGACCGCTCCATCTACAAACGACGTAAACAAGCGACCACTGATCGGGTGACCGCTGATCGGGGTTGCAGTGTATAAGTAAATCAATTCAATAGCATGTACTAGTGATTTCATTTCTATTTGATTTTCAATCAATAGTATATGCTATAGTATATGAGCATTGGATTTATAGCATTAGTTTCAATTATCAAAACTGTTGCTTTTTTAAACCAAATGTTTTAAGAAATAAACATATCTATGCTCTTTAATACCTGTTTCTGGTTATACACTTTTTGTGGTTTAACACACAACATACATAATTTGAGATAGAAGCTCACAATTTATCGCAATATAAACTCAACACACTGTTTAACACTACAATCATAATAGGCATTTAAATGATGTTGATTTGAATTTCCCCATATACAAAATTGATGAAATCAATACCGCTTGTGAGAGAAAAAATTAATTTTTTAAATAACCTAATTACATTATTTTATAAATCTTCTTTAGACTTTATTTTTATTATTGTTAAATAAATTATTTTTTTAAGTACACTGAAAGAATTTTGGGCAGGCTGCAGGCTTTACATGAGTGCCGCTAGAGCTCGCTGCCTTAAGCTCGCAGTTAACCTCAAAAAGGCGAGAATCTACTCCCGAAAGGTAAGCAGCAACTCCTCAGGGGCAGCTGCTCACCTTTCGGGAGTAGATGCTCGCTTTTTTGAGGTGAGCTGCGAGCCCTGCGCAAGGGTCACTGATTTCGGACATGAAAAGCCAGCAGCCTGTCTAAAATTCTTTCAGTATATATAGCATGATATTTTTATATGAAATTCATATATATACTATTAAATAGTAGAAATATACTTTCTTATTGAAAAATTAATTTCAATAAGACAATACCTAACATCCCCGGTAGAAATTGACTACAGGCATATTACTGGTTCAGTACGAAAAAATTTCAACCAGTATTGACTTTCATACTGGCCTATTACGTGTCCAACATCGGCAGGTAACGCCTCTGGCTTGGACTTAGTACTGAAAATCAGTAAGTAATGTAATAGTACGGATTTTCTGTTCCGACCAGTAGTAGACCAGTAATAAAGCAATGCTGCGCTGGAGAAACATAACCCCTAAACATTCACTATATAATTTCGAAATCTAAGATTTGGAAAGAAAAATTAGAAATAGACTAATTAAGAAGTTGGAATTTTATTTTGAAATAAGAAATAAAATTTACTTTTAAGGATTTAGTCTGTAATTTGATATTAGTTAACAAGAATAATTATGTATTCACATGAACTTGAAATGAGTTAGAATAAATAGTTCGGTTTTACTTTTTTTCATACGAATTCGTGTTAATCCATTTATTTTGTAATTTGTATATTTGTTAAATAATAATTTATCATAATAACTGGAAACGGTAATAGGTAGTAAAAATTTTCTACCGAATTAAATTTACAGATAACCTCAATTCTAAACTATGATGGAATTAGAAAAACATTGATATTTAAAGAATTGAATATAGAATGTTATTAAATAATAAATTAAAGTTATAGTAAAATTATTTCTATTTGATGTAATCATATCAACTTATCAACGGCTGTATTAGTAGTTTAACCTCAAAACAGTCATAATAGCAGCTGTTTCACTACCGCATTGCACGTACTGAGCCAGTAAAATGCCGGAGTTTCTAAGAGTACAAGTTACACGGAAAATCAGTACTGTCAAACAGTATTATATTAGTAGTGGATCGGACGTTAACTACGGCTGTTTACGAAAATTTCTGCCTGGGATCTTTAATTTAAATAAGTATGACCACAATTATTGGTACTGTCAATTTTATAGCATCTGCTTTTGAACGTCTAAAATATACATCTATGCAAACTGTAAATGCTATATTTATAAATTTAACAAAATTTTATTTAAAATAATGGCAACACTTATTTCACACTAATTAATATTTTTTTAATAAAATTGTATCAACCCTATACATATCCAATGTAGGGTTGATTTTTACATATACATCAACCATTTTACATATGTGTTTCATTACACAAAATTATGCTTCTAGTTCTAAATTATGAATTATTATGTTTTAATATGCATTTTCTTTAAAAAATGGAATTCAAAAGCATTGGCGCTATTGGGCCAATAGTTCTTTTTCTCAGTGTATAAGCCCATAGTTAACCCCACAACTTTTTTCCCAAAAAATATACTAAAAATGTGTACGAAGATACTTTTAACATCTTAAGTTAAGATATTTCAAAAAACTAAAAATTTTCTACCAAAACATCTTAGAAATGACTACCAAAATATATTAAATTAAGATACTTCTTTTTGCAGTGGAGAAAATCAATTTTTCAAAGAGAAGGGATTTAACAATTTCTTTGCCGATAAAAATAAGTAATAAAATATTTAAAAAAAGACATACATTGTGTTAACTTAGGTTAATTATAATTACTTGAAATTAAAATATATTTTATTAAAAAAAATATATATTTTGCAATATTTTGTACTGGAATTTTTTTTAACATTATTTTTTTCCTAATTGCTCAAAGGGGAATGTAAATTTAATACCAAATTCTTCCGAATTCTTACAAGAATTTAGTGACATCAGTTTAAATCTATAATATTAGTGTCTTTTTTCAAAGTTTGTAGATGTGTATAATGTTAATATATTCGAAACGTATTTTATAAAAACTAAATATAGAGCAGTATTATTTTAATATAAGAATAATAAAATTTTGTCTGATACAATCATTTTTCGTGCACCAGGAAAAATATATAATATATTTTATATTTCTAAACTGTACTGTGTTGTTCATTTCCTTAAAAATTTATTTGCCAAATCCTATGCTTTATAATGTTTTTTTCAGCTCGGCAATTTTTTTTTATTTATTAATTATTATCTAAAATTTTAACTAAAATTAATTTTTAAATCAATTTGTATTGGAAAGTTCTACGAAAACTCATTTATTTAAATACAAAAATAAATAATTTATTGAATAATTGAATGTTTCTTAAAATTGATTTCTTCTAAAGAATTTTATCAACAAATTTTTAAATAATTAAATTCTTTTGACGAATTTTAATTAAGTTTTTAAGAATACTTACATTTTTCGAGAAATTCGATTAAAGTTGTATTAAAAATAATTGAAATTCTGCAATGAGTTTTATTATTTGTGAAAATAATTGAATTCCTAAAAAGAATTTTATTATTTACGAAAATAATTGAATTCCTAAAAAAATGTAATATTTATGAAAATAATTATATTATTGCAAAGAATTTTATAAAAAAATTTCAAAAAATTGAATTGTTCGAAAAAAATGTATGCAAATTCTATTTTTAATAATTGAATTCCTATGTGAAATTTTTATTCATAATTGTTATATTAATTTTATATTATTTTAGAAAATAATTGAATGTTCATGTAGAATTTTATTAAAAATTCTTTTTAATTATTGAATTCTTTTGAAAAAATTTATTAAAATTGTAGATGGGTAGTTCTACAAACGAAGGAAGAAAATGAAGAAAATTTTGGCAAAACTTTTTTTTTACGTTCAGAAAAACCTAAAAACCTACTTTTTTAAAAAGTAGGTTAAATTCAAGTTAAAAGTATTATAAAAGTTACCTAAAAGGTGTTTCATGCCATGTATGGCCTACACAATGATCAAAAGATCTGGCCCCGATTTGGGCCATGGTTAAATTTCTACCTGTCAGAAAGTGCCATAAAACTGGGAATTTGGTCATTTTTCGTCTAAACAATTGAAAAACAAGACTTAATAACAAAATTCAGAATACTGGTCAACAGGGAATAAGGTTCTAAGACACCTAGAACAACAAAAGTATAAAAACATAAAATATTTTTTTTTTAAATGTGTGCCAGGAAACTGAAAATTTGTCTGACCAAATGCCCATTTCGATCACAAAGTACAAAATTTTAGTTAATTGAACTGCAAGTTAAGTAAAATGCAAGTGATATA